TCCGCCATACGATGGGAATACAGCTTCTACTTAAAAGCAAGTTTACTGGTAAGACTTTTATTCATACATAACTGCTCTAGTCTCAACCACAAAGTAGTCGCCGTCTTCTCCTTCAAGACATCCTGCAGAATGTTGTTGGACAGATGAAGATGAATCAATGACGTAGCCTTTCGATCCTTCCGTTGTTTCTCCTCCGTTGTCCAATCAGCCGGCATCCTTTCAGAACTTAGCAACGCATCTTCCAAATCCAACTGCGCTAGAACAGCCCTCATCTTTACTTGTCACAACGAAAATCTTGTATTGCGATCTAATGCGGAATATCATACTTCAACCCAGCCATCTCGAAAAAAAAATCTCAACCAATCCACAGAAAATCAACAACCTAACTCTGATACCACTTGTTGAAGCTTCCACGCCCCAACATGAATAATAGGGTCAATTTGAGCTCCATCTTTTGTGGAAAATGAGTTTTATAATAGTAATTTTTTGAAAAATGTATGATTAGAAAATAAGAAAAAATTTTGTACGTACAAAATTATTTTATTGAAAGAATGTATGGTTAAGAATAAGGAAAAATGAATTTTTAGAAAACGAGACTCTAATGGAGACATTGTGTTATATGAAATATTATCATGGTCCTACTCTACAGTAGAAGTCCGGCTGTCAAACACAATGAATAGTAATGTGAAATAAGCAATGTTGAATTTTCTATAATGAATAATAAAGTGAAATATTGACGCAATGAGCACAAAATTTCTGCATTGATTTCCGACCATTTCTCTGTAGGAAGAATTTTGTGAATAGTGACGCCAAAAAAAAAATATAATGATGGTTTGTGAATCCGTGCCGAAAATTGGAAGAGTAACGGCAAAGAAAATACAAACAAGAAGAAGAAGAAAGTATGGACAAAGCCGAGGCAAGAGTTGGACTCTTTGTCCTTGAGTCGAATTTGCCCCGCAATGGTGCCTACGGATTTTGGCAATCGACTCCCAAGATACAACGGCTACACTTGTGTTTGTAGCACTCCAAAATACAAGTACAACGAACCAAATTTAGGCTTATGTACTCCAAGGATGAAATGAAGGAAAATCAAAATAAACGAAATGATTTTGATTTTGGATAGAAGAGAGGGTGTGAGATGTTTTGCATATCAAATTGTGAGGAATAGGACACCCAAAGGGTCCTATTTATAGACCATGAAAGGGTGTGGACGAAATGGTTGAGGCCAAACCATGCACCCTTTCCAAACAATGCACCTTTATGAAAAGGTGTCTATTCACTAATGGTTGAGGCCAAACCATGCACCCTTTCCAATCAATGCACCTTTATGAAAATGTATCTATTCACTGATTTTTGTCCTTTTTCGTAATTTCTCATTCATCCGATATTGGTTTTCGAAATGCCAAATATACCCTTCAATACATGCAGGTCGATCCTCGTTTGTGTGCCCCGAAGCGGCGAAGTGGCAAACAATTTTGCCTAAACGGATTGAGTCGAGCTTTTGAGTATTTGGCCGAAGTCGATACAAAGTCACTTTAATCGATTTTCCATTCTCGATTTATTTAACCAATATCCAACATCCTCTCCCTCTTATATGCAGTAATTTTGTTTACTTACAAGTGAATTGTACAATAATGTTTTCTTTATTATCCATCATTTCAATTATAAGTAACCGATAATAGATTATACTCAGCTCATTGGATGAGCTAGCTTAATACGAGATGGTTATGGGAGGATTAACCCGCAATAAAAAAAAAATCGACTATTGTCAATATCAAACGTGGTATTGGGATAATTTTTATCATACGCAATGTACCAAATCTATGTCGTAAGTACTAACTCATGTATAAGTAAAAAAATACTTAAAAATATAGTATCAGCTAAAGGGCGAGTTAAAAAATGTACATATAAATTCTTCTTATATTTCATATTTTATACTACACTTTGTCAAAGAAAGTTAAATTAGTTAATGAAATCTGAGACTTCATATTCCCTAATTATATTAATGAAATAAACACATTTGCTTTAGCTACATTCATTTGTCCAAGTCTTGTAGATATTCATTACCAAAATTCCACCATCCTAAAATATTATAAATTATTTGGTAGCCAAATAAGGTTGGATTGACTGGTATTTATATCTTGCAGTCTTGTAGCATGTCATCAATAAAATTCCATATTTCTAAGCTTTTGTAGTGTGATTGATACATTGAACATGACTAATCTAGACAGGAAAATGGAACCTTGATAAATCAACATTTTCAAGACCAAGAGAAAATATTAGTCAAGCAAATATTAATTTATCAAGAAACGTTCCTTATTTTTCTAAAATATTGCATCTAGAATCCTCTCATTCTAGTTAAGAGAGTTGAGTATTTCGTTTCTCAAACTAATTAAACTTCATATATTTGTTTAGAGAAGTAAAATCTATGAATATACATTTTTCAAGGAAGTATTTATGAATTCAAAATGTTAGTCGCATTTGCTTATCTACCAATAGTCACGATCATCATTAATTTAGGTGACAATGAGCTCCCTAATTTACTTCATTGAACAACAAAATAAGAGGGTTAATTGCCATCTAATTAAATTGAAGACGATCGATAGTATTACTCTATTATATGTAATGGACATTTAACCAAACAAAACTCTGTGAATACATTTCGTATTAAATTATATCGGTCTTTCAATCTTTAGCAAGTGAGGCATTCATATTCCTATCCTATCATTTATTGCATTCATATTTTCAACTTTTTAAAACTGTAGCACCTAGGTTTCTAGAAAATAAAATAAATTTTTTTGAACGTTAAATGATCACGTGTCACTAACGTGATGTCAAAATAAAAGGTAAAATTGTTCGAAAAGATATCCTTTATTCCAAAACAATCCAAAAGGTGACTTCAATTTTCATTTAGAAACCTGAAAAGGTTAAAAATACATCAATGTTCATGGAAGCTATCCCTTTACTTAAACCCATCTTCGACATCGTATGACCATTTGTCGTATAAATTTTAACATCTTTGAATTTTGCCCTCCATTTATTTTTGCAGGACTCTTTCCTATATCCCTATCAAGTAAACCCATTGGGAAGTCAATTGACTGGAAAAATACAGTCTTTGATTTTTTATCAGTAGTAGACTCAGTCATCGGCGGGAAAACTTACACTATTATTTGCAAGACTATTCTTCTTTTGGTAAATTGCATGAATGATCATCGCTTTTCATTTCTATACATTTATTTCTCGACCTTTCATTTTAGATGCAGAGAGCACTTTTGCCCTTTTGGACGAAAACGTCCAAACCTGCCCTTAAATTTGACGAAGAAATCATATTATTTAATACTTCGTGCTTTCAAATGAAATTGTCCATAATATCGTATTGATTTAAGAGTTTTTAGTGTTTATGAGATTCATAACTTTTCAGCTACACATTCCATCATTTTTATCAAAATTTACTTAAATTTTGATTTTAATCCTCAATAAACAAAGACTATATATTATGTGATTATATTTTGGAAATCATCTCAAATGCTTCGACGGGCATGCATTTCTAGTAGTCTTCTAGAATTTCATCGGGCCATCCTTACACGGGTGGACCCACTTGAGGTCGAGTGGGGGCGGCAAAATTTTTATTTTTCTTGAGGGTTTTTTAGGGTTTCCAGGTTTTTCCTATGATTTTTTGGTTTCGCCCCCACTGAATTTTAATCCTGGATCCGCCCCTACATCCTTATAATTTGTTAGAGTACATCAAACGTCTTCGCATATATCAGTCTTTTTTTAATTTACAAGCAAATTCTACCGTCATTTATTCAGTACATTGAAATAAAGTTGTATTCATACCTCCTTCAATTTCCACGTTTCAATTGACTTGAAAAATTAGTATGTTACACACTTTAATTTGTCAAAAGTTATTTGTAGACCCAGCTTGTGGAAAGTTGGCATATGAAAATTCTTTAATTCTCATTTGCAAGACCCGGTTAGAGCATAATTTTCCCTCTTCCGTTTTATTTACGGGCAACACTATTTCTCTTTGGCTAAATTGCATGCAAGGTATCCAACTTTTGGGTGGATTGTATGTTAGTTTCCAACTTTTTCTTGACATTTGGCTTCTCAAAATTCTTTTTTAGAAATGAAACCGTCCAAATCTACTGTTTTATTTTATTTTTTTATAATTTATAGGGGATTAAAGGATTCAATCACTCCAAATTTGTTGATATGTTTGAGAAAAATGCAATTTTTGCTCTTGACCATCATCTCCTTCACGATTTTGATACAAGTTGATAAATTGTGTGACTAAAAAATTATGGATCCTATAAAATGTATATTTAAAATTGATTGTTGATTTTTACTTCTTTTTTTTTTTTTTTATCAACTTTTAATTTACACTAAACAAGGGTATAAAGTCTTTTTGACGAACTCAAAGTGAATTTGGAGGGTTTCCATACAATAGACGAAAGTGAAACTAAAACAAAAATTTGAGGAGCTGAATGCTAGTAAAATAGGTTAATGGCCAACTTTCAATTGATCCAAATATTAGGGACCAGACAATCAATTTACCTTTTCCTTTTCCTTTTCTTTTATGCAAACTTTCCTTGTAAATATAGAATGAGAGAACTTTCTTAGAATAAGCTATTTTAACAGCCTGTTTGGTATTGATTTAAATCGAATTTTAATTCAAGTCAAAATCAAACAATTAATATTGAGCACATATTTCATAGGTTCCACAATTTTTCAACCACACATTTCAAAAACTTCTATCAAAATGTACTAAAAATCTAATTTTAATCTCCATCAAATAAAAGCAGAATTTTTTCCCCACCTACTTCACAGATGTAGTATTGAAAATAGATGATTAGGTGCAAACATTTATTATTTTTCGAATAGTCTAATAACAGAATGTCACATGTCCAAGCATTACCATCGAACTTTCCCCCTCCCTTTCCAAGCAAGTCTATAAATATGCACAAACATAACTCAAACTAATACACCATTCTTCAAGCGTTCCTTCAAATTCACTCATGGCACTTAAAATTTCTCCCATCTTCTCAAGCCTCTTTTTACTTTTCTTACTCCTTTTTGTCTCTTGCCGTGCAAAGAAAACAGTAAGCCCAAATAACAAAAAACCTCTCCCCTTTGATTTTCTCAAACATCTGGAGGGGTGCCACAAGGGCGAGAAAACGAAGGACATTCACAAGCTGAAAAAATACCTCGAGAAATTTGGTTATCTTGATTATCATCATTCAAGAAACAAAACCCATGAAAATGATGATGATTTTGATGATACATTAGAGTCTGCTGTCAAACTATATCAGTACAATTACCATATAAATGCCACTGGGATTCTGGATTCTGAAACGGTGTCCAAAATGACGAAACCTCGATGCGGGGTGACCGATATTGTCAATGGAACAAGCAGAATGCGAGCAGGTGGAAAAAAACATAGAGGTTCAGGCTCCCTCCATACGGTGTCGCATTATACTTTCCTTCCGGGAAACCCTAGATGGCCATCTGAATCAACACACTTAACTTATGGGTTTTTACCCTCTACTCCTGCAAGTGCCATGAGCCCGGTGTCAAGAGCCTTCGAAAAATGGGCTTCAGCAACACATTTCACATTTTCACAATCTCAGAATCCAAATTTAGTCATCGGTTTCCATACGGGTGATCATGGAGATGGATCAAATTTTGATGGCCCAGGTGGGATCCTGGCTCATGCTTTTCCCCCAACTGACGGGAGGTTTCACTATGATGCAGATGAATCATGGTCCGTTGGTCAAGTCCCGGGTGCATTTGATCTTGAAACTGTTGCATTGCATGAGATCGGGCACCTTCTTGGACTAGGACATAGCTCGGTTCAAGATGCAATCATGTTCTCTGGAATTCCTCCTGAAACGATCAAGAATTTACATGCTGATGATATACAAGGAATCAAAGCTTTATATAATGTCTAAAGAGAAGCTGCTTCCACAGAGTTAAATCAAATTTTATGAATAAAAAGATGTAACGATTAATTAATAATTGTGTAGACACAAATAGGAATTTCTGTTGCGAAGTTGTGATGAATAAATCTTGACATTTTTTCCCTTTACTCGACACATTACTGAGTAAGACTGATGATGTTACCAATAATTTATCTTGAAGGAAAAGCTTATAAATTACGATATTAGGTCCAATAAGAAAATAATAATGTTTTGTTTAAAAAAAAATAAAAAATCCTTGACCACATCACCAGAAGATTGACTTCTAAAGAGACTGGGGGAAGTTGAATGTAGCTAGGTCTTTTTCGATTTATTACGTGCAAAGAGATCATTAATAAACTATAATCTATTAAAGATCGCATGAATTGAGAGTTATAATTTATCCAACCTAGCTACATTTTGACTATTTTTTCAGTATTATCAATTTGTTGGAATAAAGTCAATTAGACTTTCACCTCTCTTGATCTTCACGATGTGAAAATTGGTACGGGATTATATTAGCCTGTTAAAAGCATTGAGCCCGTGTTTGTTTGTCATTTTTCACCTCATTTTTAGAAGAAATGTTACTGTTTATCGTCCTACTTTACCCCCTCCCCCCCCCCCCCCCCCCCATCTCGCAACTTTCATTTTGCAACTGCTATATATATTTCTTCTAATAATAAGCAAAAATTGGCGCCCAAACGAGCTCTATATATATTTTCAATTTTGAGTATTATAGTAATGATTACTGTTTTTATAATGAGATATAATAGAAATATATTATATATCTTGAACATAAAAATGGAAATTGGAACGCCGAATGATGGCTGTTTTTCTCATTCCTAGAAAAGATGGCTATAAGATGAGAAATATTTTGTCATTTTTCAGTTATTTGCCCATTTGGTCTTCTGTTTTGTTTGCTATAGGGCTTTTTGCTGTGATAACATATCAATGGCCTTTTTGTTTGCTTAGAACAAGGGAATTTGATTTGTTTTCGTTAGGGATGATAAAAATATTCGCTGAATTCAATATTTGTAGGGCTCGCTCCAAACGAAGTAGAGATTACCCTACTAATAGGGTAAATAAGGCAGAGCGAGAATAGAAAATATGGTCCCCGCTCTGTTTAAAATTTATTTCAAACTTACGTTTTTTATAAAAATAAAAAGAAAAGAATTATCATCCTTTCTAAAAGGAACATAAGTTGTTCTTAAAAAATTGGGGAAAAAATCATTTCACTAAATACAAACATTAAAATATATATATATATATCGACCCATCTCACCTTAACTGGATATGGGGGTGGGGCAAGGTATTGGAATGATAGACTTGCCTCGTTATCATTCCGAGTTTTCGTATTCTTAGTGTTTATGGGGGCACTCCTACTGCGTCGTTTTAAAAGCAAGAAAGATTTTACTTAGTTAAAAAAATAAAAATATAAAAAGAACACTTTTGAAGATAGTTGAAGGAAGCATTTTTTTTTTTTTTTGCTACTATTTATTTATAATTTTATAGTGATTTTACGATGAGATATTTTATGTCTATTTATTTTGCTAAGTATAATCAAATTGATTTTCTTTATTAGGCCTGGCAAGATCAATTCTCATTGCGGAAGGACGCATAAATTTGACGTGTTAAGTTTTTTCTGGTTCCTTTTTAATGGTACTTCTTGTTATCGCAACTAGATGTTTGGTCGATTATGCTACGAGGATTCTATTGAGTAAAAGAAATGCAAGATACTTATTGTACCCTTGCCTGGTGTCGATTCTCACCAAATTTTAGAATTTTTTTTTACCATTATACTGTAATCTAGCAGCCGCACCTTTGACCAGATTTTGCAGAATTACATTTATACCCTTTTGACATTTAATATACTAATTTTGAAAGGGGGACATTTATTGTAATTTAAGTAATTTTGAGTCAAAATATTATGGTTGAAAGGGCTCAGGTTATAAGTTTAACTAATACAAAAATCAGGTTTTAGCTAATTAATTAAATATAATGAGGTCACATTTATACGGTTAATGATCACATGAACATAATTATAGGTCATAACTTATTTATTGATAACATATTATCAAATTAATTAGTCACAAATTATGTCAATGTCACAAGTCAAAAAAAATTTAGGTCACAGTTTATGTCATTGGTTATAGATCCAAAAAATTATTAGTTACATGTTACATATTTTCAAATTTTATGGTCACATCTTAATTTTTTAAGTAAAAAATGATCGACTTTTAAGGTCACATTTTACAAATCCAAAAAATTATACATCACAGATCACATATTTTTCAAATTTGATGGCCATGGATTACTTTTTTTAAGTCCCAAATGATCAAATTTTAAAGTCACAGTTTAATAGTCGGTCACAGGGGACCAAATAGTTGGTCACAGACACCAAACGCCAGATCCCAATCCACCACAATATTTGGTCACAAACACTACCCCACCCTGCCTTTGTGACTATGCCTGTAATTTTCTGAGAAAGAATATCATTTGTTTCCTGTAACTTTGGATATGAGATAAAAGTTTGGTAAAAAAAAAAAAAGACAGTGAAAAGCACTCGCAGATGTATAAGAACAACAGAAAATTACTTCTACACTTATTAAAAACTTTACAATATTTTCAACCTCAAACTCACCATGTTATTTTCAACATAGAGTTAAAAACACTTGCAGATGTACAAGAACATAAAATTACTTCTATAATTATTAAAAATTTCACAATATTTTCAACCTCAAACTCACCATGTTATTTCCAAACACGAGACACTCAACACCATTCGTCGGCATTATCAAATCATAGACAGACAGATTGCATAAACTCAACAACAAGTTCAAAACGCAAAAGGATAATCAACCAAAGATCTCAATGGATTTAGTCATTTAACCTCAGGCTTCTTCACTTCCTCCTTAGGCACGATGATATCCCATTCTTAAATTGCCGACGTAAATGGTGGTGACTTGATGGTTGGAGAGTGAAGAGAGAAGGCACGGCACCGTCGGAGAAGGAGCGATGCCGAAGACGAAGATGATCAGTGAAAAAGAAGAGAGAAGCGAGGGAGATATAGAGAGAGAAGGAAGCTGTGATTCAATACCTAGGGTTTGGATAGTGGGCGTGGGTGGATGTATTTAATATTTAATTATTATATTGATACCTGATTTATGCATAATTAAATTTCAACCCTGACTTTTGAATTGTGATGTTTAAACACCTAATATTATGTAATTTTCCCTTTATTA